AGAGACAATAGATGACAAAGACGGTGACAATAAGAGGGAGAGAGATTGAAACAGAACAACATATGAATCTATTCAAGCTCCAGTGTCCTTCAAGGTTTTTAAACATTAGTATTCTTCTTAACATCTGAATTAATAATGCACATTGGGGGTGGTCTTACTGTGTCCTGATGTTTCCTGTCTGATTGTGTTAAGCTATAGTGACATGCCTTGAAGGGACATGTAAGATCAAACATCTCTCTTAGAGACAGAGCGAGTGTGGAAATCTCACACCGTACAAGAGATTCACTTTAAAGTGTACCATATTGAAAGCCACATTAATGATTGATTGGCAAGTGGTTTGTTTTTAAAATGAACCATTAATTGGATTCTCAATGGTCATTGGACTCCAAAGTGAAGACAGAGAAAAGTTCATTGTGGAATCCCTTTTCAACAACATATGGTCGATCTTTTAGTACCACCACTACTGTACATAACATTTTTTATTTATATTTATGCATCTTGTAAATGCTTTTATCCTAAGCAACTTCTAGTGGAAGGTACATATTTTATCAGTACACGAGTTCCTAAGGAATCAAACCCATGACCTTGATGTTGCTAGCATTATCCTGAACCAGCCTAAACCACACAGTCTGCCTCTTGACAAAGATATTCAACAATATGAAAGATGTAGTGCGTACGATTTCAGACAATTTTCTTTCAAGTACATGTCACATCAGGTACACCCTGAGCCATTCAACTGAAATCTTTGCAATCAAATTGTTAGAAAAATTATTTAACCCTCTGCTGCATTCAGTTTTTTTTTTTTCAATTATAAAGGGAAAAAAAAGATCTTAATGTTTGTTTTTACTTCAAAACAAGAATATAATATTTCTCAATCTGGTTTGTGATGTATTTTGAAAAAGTTGCACATTTGTCCATTGCAATTGATTATTACACTGGAATTCCATGCCAGGAATATTAGATATTAGATCTAGTCTCCTTCCCAGAGCCCGTCATAAAACATTTGTTTTGTTTGGTATCCTAAATTATCAGCAGAGTTTTGTACCCCAAACCAGTAAATAGCAAGTCTTGTCTGATTCGCAAAATCAGTTAACAAAACTGTATTACTGAAAGTCTTCTATCAGCCTGAGAGGTTGACAGAGAAAACCAAGGGAGAGCAGAATGTGGGAGATGAAGTGATGGTTATTGAATATTGTGAGTGTATTGAATAATTGCCTGGGTTTCAATGCTTGGACTTTGTCTGAATGTCATCCCTACTTCTGGATTTCATCCTGTACTTTGTCTGACCAGTACAAATTCAACAAGTGTTATTATACCAAACCAAAAGAAATGGAAAATTACTATTTCACAACATCTTGTGAAATTAACACCTTGAAATGGAGACATTCTCTTGTCTCTTGCTCTTGAACACCACACAATGATAATATTAAACAACAACAAAGCATTACAAGAGCAAGAAAAATATGTAAAATAATAATTAATATAATAAAAATGAATAAATTACTGTATTATTAAATGGAATGATTCAATGGTTATAAACTAATACAAATGGCTAAAATTGGCTTTTAAAAATCCATCCACTCTAGCAAAGACGCATCAGAGGGTTAAATAATGATTCACTATGGTAAGAACTGCCAGTGGGAAGCCAAGAAAAATGGGTCAGTGGTATCAGTTAAAGCGTGCATAGATTTAAATCATCTCGTATCCAGTGTTTTTAGTAATGCTGTCGACATCAATCAAAAGGAATCTGTGCAGATTGAAAACTTTAGTTTGAATTCAAGTTCACTTTCCCTCAAGAAAGTTCTTTCAGGAAAACACCCCTATTTGTTGGACAGAAAGAGTAGATAATCTCCCCAGAAAGACTCTTTTTTTTTAAAGCAGTGGATCAGCCGTCCTTTATCATGATTTCTGCTTGAGAAGTTTGAGCCCGTGTTTTCCAGAGACGTTCCTTGCCGATCAGTAAACTGTCAGCTGATTGGAATTGATTGTGTGTGCTTTGCCCCTATTCAGACATTTCTTCTAGCTGCAAGCTATAATAATAAGTTGGACGGCACAGACAAACAAGTTCATTCAACACAATCTGTTGCTCTCAGTCTCGTCAGGTTCATTTTTTGTTATTTATAAAAGCTTTTAAATAATGCAAACATATCCACAGTACAGTATAAGAATTTGTAATTATGTTTAAATGATTTGGATTTTTTTTTTAGATTTCTAATTCAAGATCTTTGTTGTGCATTGGTGTTATACTAAACAACTGCAGCCCAAAAATAAAGCGCCATGACATTGTTCTCTCTCTGATATGATTAGCTAATGGCACAAATAAGCTCCTTGCAATGTGGTGAAATGTCATTTTCTCTTCTTTATCAATTTCTGTCTTTCTCTCTGTCTCTCCTTGTCTCTTTATATTGTTCACTGGATGTCTAAGTGATAGTGACATTTTAAGAGCACCTCTCATCTATTTGTGCCACAGAATCATCCCTCCAAGTAGCAGAACACGCTCTCATCCAAATCCCTCTTCGATAGACCTAACAGACAAGCACTGTAACAGCACTGACATATGAGGATTAAACCAAATATCAGCTCTGTCTCTCTAGATTAGGTGAAATGACAATCAAGGTAATTTGGATACTGTGCCTTCCAGTGTCTACTTTCTGGACGTTTGTGTAAGAGTGTCATTGTGGCTAAAAATTCCATGTCTGTTTAAATTAGTTTTTGGGGTCATTTCATGTATTACTTTTCAAAGGTTTGAGGTCGGTAAGATTATTTTTTTTTTTATTTTTATTTTTTTAAGGAAGTCTCTTATGTTCACCAAGGCTGTATTAATTTGATGAAAAATACTGTAAAAAATTTAATATAGTGAAATATTATTATAATTTAAAACAACTCTTTTCTATTTCAATATATTTTAATTTATTCCTGTGATGCAAAACTGAATTTTCAGCAGCTAGTTCAGCAGTCTTCAGTGTCACATGATCCATCAGAAATCATAATATGAAACCTAGTATGCTGATTTGGTGCTCAAGAAATGTTTATTGCTGTCAGTGTTGTGCTGCTTAACATTTTTGTGGAAACCATGATACCGAAGATTTTTTTTTTTGTTGTTGAAAAGTTCAGCGTTTATTTGAAATGCTTGCTGGATAATAGTATTAATTTCTTTAATAAATGTTTCCAGTTCACTCTGAGTTTCCTTAGCATAATGGAAAAGGCAAGGTAACAGTGAGGCTTTTTTTAAACTTTCAGTCTCAGTGCTGAGTTCCTGGAATAAAACCTGCTTAGGTATGAATTATCACATAGTAGAAGGAGAGTATCTGTGCCACAAACCATACTTTCTGCAAACCTCTCAGTGTGTAAAGAAAAAGCCATGTAAATGAGAGGCACCAAAATGCATTTATGCTCACATGACTTGCCTGTATACAAAGTATCTGGGTGGATAGGACAGGCATAGTGACTTGCTGACTCACAATTCAGTTAAGCAAGGTGTGAAAAAATTGGGAGCAATTTTAATCATTCATTGCAACAGAAATTAAATGTTATGGTTTGTTTTGGGGAACTGCAACCACATGCATAATAATGTGCTACGTACCTATAAAGACCTATCAATCAGAGGATCTCATGACAAAGGAAATCAATTTAGAATAATGTTTAGAACAATGTTTGGGATTGGCCAAAAGTAAATACAGGGTAATTGCAGTGGAACTGAACAGCAAATTAATTATAGAGCATTGTCTAAAAAGCAAATTCGGAAGACAATTTCTACAGATATTGACTCAATATGCTGTTCAGGGGACCCAAAACAAGAGCCATCTGATAGAGCCATCTGTTATTTGTGTCCAAAAAGATCTCTATTATCTTATCAAGGATTGCACACCTCTTTTTGTTTGGAGTTTAGTTTTATTCGCAGCTGGTTGTAGGGAAGATAATGGGATTCATAAATCTGTGATTCAAAATCCATTTTAAACTTGAATAAAACAGAAAGTTTTAAGATTGTGAGAGATTCTGTACTATTTCAAGGTCTAATCTTATAAGCACATTTGTGACATTGATCATCGATCTTTGTACAGATGGCCAGATGTTTTTACAGTAAAGCACAAGGTGCTGGAGAACATAATCATCAGGTGCAAAATGTATTAAATCAGGAACGGCCTACTTCAATCAGAGAATAGACTTCTTTAATGACCCATTAATTTTCCTGCTGCTATACGTATTCCATTAATCCGCCACTGATCTATGGCAGATTATAAACTCATTAGTTCGGAAATGTCCTCTCAGTTTGTATTCGTGATTGTCAAACTGAGCAGTCTTACAACATCCACTATTGATACCATCTTCACATCATCTTCTTCAATAAACTTTTTTCAACAAGAGTGTTTTATTTATAAGAAATGTGAATGATTGCTACTCTGATTTGTTAGTCTGCATTACTCACCCATTATATGCTCTAACTATGAAAGTGACCTATAGTGTCAATTCTATTGTTTTGCTCTGTCAGGCTTTAGCCAATCAAGTCAATAGAGTGACTCAGGGATGGATAGAAGTATAAATGGATAAATTGCTAAAAGTGGCCGACTAAGATGTTGACACTGGTGAATTGAACGGCAGTGTTTGATGAACTAATTGCCTCTTAAGAACTGAGTCTGACACAAGGGCAAAAACCAAAAGCTGGCCCACTTGCCATTCTAAAAGCTTTTATGTGTTCTCTGTTCCACAAACCAATGTAATTGAATGAAACAGCACAATCCACTTCAAAAACAGTACATATGTCTGCTTAATTCCATCTCAGCTGGCTACTGAGGTATTAAACCGGCATTATAGAGATTTCAGGAACTACAGTACAGGATTTGAAATGAATGGTAGCTTGGAAAATTAAGACATTTATAACTTTATAAGTAATGCAAAGCTCAATTATTAAGATTCAATAAATATCCTGTACTGTGAAAATGCACATTGTGCTCATCTGAAATCATCTCCTGGCGTTCTTTTTTTTTCTGTCCTGCGCACAGGTGGCAATGGTGCAGGATGTTCGACATCCTTTCCCCACAGTGGATGTTCCAGACCACGCTCACTACACCATCGGCTCTGTCATTCTGGCAGTGGGCATCACCGGCATGGTGGGAAACTTCTTGGTCATGTATGCCTTCTGCAAGTGAGTCCAGATATATGTAGTCTGTGTGATGGCCAATGAAATCCAGGTTAGATCTGCTCATCTAGAGTCATTGTTGCACTGCAAAGGCAGCACAGAAACTGCTGCCTATATATGGGAATCCCTGATTTATATGTATATAATATTATATTTATAGAATATATTCTGTTTAATATTATCATATATAAATAATACAACATAAAATGCCCATGTCACAGATAAGCTTCTTCTTTCTTTCTTTTGAATTGTAACATTTCTTTTGCGTATGTTTTCAGGAGTAGGAGTCTGAGAACACCTGCCAACATGTTCATCATTAATCTGGCTCTCACTGACTTTCTAATGTGTGTCACTCAGACACCAATCTTCTTCACCACCAGTTTGCACAAGCGATGGATCTTTGGGGAAAAAGGTAATCCAGATGTCAGATAATCATGGGCGCTTGATCAAACCCCTGGTTTTCATTCCTAATCAGACAAAACTTGAGATGAACTGAATGACTGTTTAATGCTATAGCCCGGGGCGGACTGACCATCTGGACTCCAGATCTTCTCCAGAACAGCCGTCAGCCTGGCTGGTTCATCATCAAAGAAAAAGTGTCAGATTAAGTGACGTTGACGGCCGATAAAAGGGTGCGCTAATTCAGATTAAGTTACGTGGACGGCCGACAAAAGGGTGCGCTAATGCAATCTATTTTTGCTTAATGCTTATAAGAAACCGAAACTGACGCGAAGGAGAGTGGGCTCATGATGGCAAGCAAAAAAATTTAAGATAAAGGCAGTTGGGAGAAGCTAAAAGAAAGGGGAAAAAAAGCGAACAGTTACATCAGGTTACCTTTGTCCACCAATCTCACTATATATAGCATGTAACCTATAGCACTATAGTAAAATCCCAGAACACCCCTAGTCCGAACGCTCACTGCTATTTTTTACTCCGCATTCTCTGACATGAATATTCCATTCATTCATGCATAAAGAGACAGCAGCAACAGAGATACTGAGTTAGAAAATAGAGTAAATGAAGTAGCCTATAATATGATTAGTCTGATTAACATGACACACACACACACACACACACACAGACAGACAGACATATGAATACTCAAATTGAAGAATTCTGTTTCAGGTTTCTAGATTTTAGGTTTATGTTTGTTATCATTGTCATATTATACATTTTGCATTCTGCTCTTTTTATGTAGATTTCAGGTATTTTAGTTCATACAATAATACATTTATTTCAATCCCCTGCTGAAAAAAAGAAACCATCACATCATTTGTAATGGTTTTACTGGTTATAATGAAAATTGTATTGGTTTTAATGGCAACTGTAATGGTGCCTGTTGGTCTCTACGGGTAATTGGTCGCCTTCTGTTGGTGGCTTTTGTTAAAACCACTAAATCCTAATGTAATATGTCCCAAAACACACTTCAGGAAACCATTATTTAATGGTTAAAAGTTGATGGTTTGTAATGTTTGTAATGGTATTTGTAGTGGAAAACATTCAAATTTCTCTATTGTTTATCTATGGTCTCTATTGTTTTTGTCAGCAGGGTCACCATGGGTTTTGTGATGTTATTTGCTATAAATGTGATAGGATTGCTGTAATATTGTGAGATAGTAGCGACTGCTTGTAGTTGTGGTGGGCCTATTTGGGAGAAAATCCAGGGCCGTTTTTTACGCCCAGTCCATCCCTGGCTATAGCCAGTATTTCCAATCCATGTTTACAGTAATAGTAGTTCATACTTCATATTGATTAAAAAGTATCTTTTTCTATGTTAGTAGAAAGTTAATTTTACATTTGTTTAGTTTGTACTCCTAAAACCCAGAAGACAATACCATGACCATGTCTTGAAGAACAGTGAAGGAATTCTAGGTCTATTTCAAGTTGGGAAGTAATCATTTTGAACTATTTGCAAATAATATTTTGACATATTCACACATGCCCTTTTATTTGTATGCCTATTATGTCAAAACACAAAATGTGCCTAGTCTCATCACATTCAGTTAGGAATTACATGAATCACGTAAATCATATTTCATATTTTCAATTGAAATCAGCCATATTTGGATAAAAAAGTTGAGTAGTTTGCATCTCTGGATATTACTGTCGATAGTTTAAAATTTCTATCGTAAAACAGTTGTCAAATATTAAAAGTTTCCCTACTTCCATCTTACCTCACTCTCTTTCAATGTTAAAACTGACATTTCGTGCTAGAATTCTTGCTCTGCTTCTGTGAACAGTAGACCCCGCCTACTTTGATTTATTTTGACATTGATGAGCACTGTTAGACCGCTAAATTAAACCAGCCAGACCAGCCTAAATTAAAAAAAATTATCTTTTAAACCTTTTTGTCATCCTAACAACAAACTGATTGCTGCATAAATGGAGGGCAGTAGAGCAGTGCAGGAATTTCAAATATTGGGGAGGGGCAATTTGGCCATTTCTAATTATTGGGGGGACTTGTCCCCACCGTGTACTGTGGTTATGGCCCTGTGTGGAATTGCAGTTAGCGACTCATGACTGAACTGCTCTCTACAAAGGCGCTATATTACAGATGTAATCTCTCATTCAAGCTCTCTTAAACATATTATTGCAATTACTTTATATAAGTCCTAAAAACCTCTCCTGAAAGGAAAACAATTGCATGATTACATATTCATCATGCAGTAGCATGTGTGGGATTAATGTGATGCTCTAATGTTAGGCTTTCGAATAATGCCACAGATAAAAAACAGAAAATGTCAGGTCATCTGAGGATCCCTTGATCGCTGATGGTCTTGTTTAGATTTCAAACCTTTTAAGCACTTAACCCCTTGCTGCACAGGCTATGCAAACTACACAAACTACAAACTAAACAAAATGACCCCTATTCATTTTCTATGTTATTTCATGCTTGGCTGGGCTTTTTTCTTTTCTTTTGAAATCAGTTTATTTCAGCATGTAATATTCCCTGCTCTGTGAATTCCATGATCCATGAATATTCAAAATATATTTTTTCAATGACCACAAATTAATATTTTTTTCTTCGGTTTTGTGTTACTACATTAAGTTTACACACATGGGTCAAAAATTACCCATCTATACAAGCGTGATAAAACAAAATAATAAAGACATTTTGTTAAAATAATTATTTTAGCAGTTATTTAGACCAACACATTTAACACTTGCAATATGTGGTGACTGTAGTTTTTTTTTTTTTATCCCACATCTTCCCATTGCCACTGTAATATGGTTTTGAAGGTGGGCCGTGCCCTCCAAGAGCATCTTCAAATGTGGCATGACAAGCTCTTTGACCAGCTCTTTGATGAATAGTCGCCTTGCATTGGTCACCCCACCCATGTAATCAGGGTGTTGTGCAGTGAAGTTGGTGTAGCGTCGGTCCTGGAGAGCCACAGTCCTGTAAAGTTTTGCTTCAACCTTGATTAAAAACTCACCTGCCTCTAGCTTTCTAGTAACCTAGAAAGCTTGTTTAGGTGTGTTTGATTTAGGGTTGGAACTGCACTCTGCAGGACTGTGGTTCTCCAGGACCGACATTGGCCACCCTGGTGTAGACATTGAGGGTGGTAACATCCAGCTCATTGTACCACAGCACCATGAGCCACCTAGGTGTTCTCCGCTTACATGAGATGTGAACCATTTTTACTCAATCTGTTGGACTGGGTCTGAATTTCCTCTTCAGATGACTCATCAGACAAGTCTTCAATGTCATCAAATGAGTCTTCTTCATCTAGGAGAGCTGGATTTACACCCACAACTCCAGATTGACCCTGTGGCACATAGTCTAGGTAATCAGGATCAGATATTTCAGACTCTGAATCAGGACTAAAAATTGCTTCATTTTCCTGTTCTTTATGCAGAATCTCTACAACCATTTCAGCCGTTAATCTTGAATGACTGGGACCAGCCACACTAACACTCTGGATAAAGAAAATCAAAAGCACAAGAATATTTTCGAATGCACATCAAACAGTTGTTCAAGTATATACTTATTATATACTGTCACTGTCACACAGAAACCTTGTATGTCCAAAACTGTTACTTTTCAGGAACAGTGACAGACATAGAGGGTGACCAATAGCATTTTATTTTGTTGACCTAGCTAACATTAGCTAGCTAGAATAGAATATGTCAACGACAAGCTAGCTAATAGTACTGTTTTCTGCAGTAAATATGTTCCTCGCCAAAAATTTGCAAATATCAAAGGTTCCGATATGGGTCATTTTTGACCCATGTGTGTAAAGTTGATGTAGAAATACAAAAACTGTGTTTGTTTATAAAGTAAAGAAAAATAAACAATGATTTGTGGAAATCAAAAACAAGATATTTAATGAATACCTGGAATAATAAATGATAAAATGCATTTCTTTCAAAGATTTAGCAAAGAAACACTCAGCCATGATTGAAATAACATTGGAAATGAATATGGGTCATTTTAGACCCATGTTGTGCTTTAGAAGGGTAGTGATACAAAAATGATTTAGTTGTCAATATTTTATCCATGGTGTTATTGTAGTTTTACAAGTACACAAAAAAAAATGGTGCATTTTCACTCAGAAATTTCTAGTGAATTTAACAAACAATTACAAAGAACACATTGAAATAAATGTGAAATTTTGAGATTGAAAAACTGCAATAGTATTTTGTTACTCGTGTAATGTACTTCAATAATCTTTAATTTATTTACAGCTTCATTTTTTATATTAATATGAATATATATCCAATTATATATATATATATACACAGTGGGTATATAACAAAGAGTGAAAAATTTAAGGGGGTCTGAATATGTTCCGTACCCACTGTATATATATATATATATATATATATATATTGTGTGTATATTGCGAAAATAAAACCCTTCAGAATGGTACAAAATCATCTGATTGTACAATATACCTAGCTACACAATATATAATATTCAAACAGTAGGAAAAAGTTTGTTCCTTGTTCTTGTTCTCTCTGGTCTTCTCATAATCAGGGCTATAATCGAGCAAAGGTTTCCAGCAATGTTTAAATTACTAGTCAATAAATATGGGCTTTTCAATGACAGGTTCTTAAACTTATACATTTTTCCATTTTGTAAAATAGTGACATTTCCAAAGCAATTATTGATTCACGGGGTTACAAGGTATCCCATTATTATTATTATAATTGCACATCCACAGTTGCCAGCATGTGCAGCTTGTATAAATTAACTAGTATTTCTATGTTGATAAGGAAAACATGTTCTTTTTCATCTGAGGCATTTTCTAGTCTTGTTCTTGTTCTTGTGGTTGATTTATAGGGACTCTGTAGTATGATTTATTACTCATACAGTATGGAAGAAACAATGTGAAGAACTTGCTTTATTAATGCAGTACTGGATTATATATTCAGTGCGTTATGAAATGCATAAAAGGATTAGTTCACCCAAAAATCAAAATGTGCTGAAAATGTACGCACCCACAGGGTATATAAGAAGTCGATGAGTTTGTTTCTTCACTGTAACAGATTTGGAGAAATGAAACATTACATTGCTTGTTTACCAATTAATCTTCTGCAGTGAATGGGTGCCGTCAGATTGAGAGTTCAAACAGTTGATAAACATCACAATGATCCACACGACTAGTCCACTAGTCCATCAATTAACATTTTGTGAAGTGAAAAGCCTCATGTTTGTAATGAGTTTATCATTATGATGTTTTTAACTTCAAACCATTGATATCAGCTAAAATAGGAGTCCTCTATCCATAATATTGCTTTCTTCAGTAAAATAAGTTGTCTGGTCTAAATCAGGAGAGAAATATGCACAGCTCAAGCACCATGTACAAGCAATAACAGTCCAAAAGAGTTCTAAAACAAATATGTCAGTGGATTTTGATATGAAAGGAAACCAGGGGATGGACTTTTTTAATTGGAGGAAATGTTGTTATGGATTATGAACTGGTATTTTGGCCAGAAGCAACAGTTTAAAGTGAAATGCCTTACTGATGGATTTGTTTCTTACAAACATGCAGTTTTTCACTTTACAAGACAATAATTATTGACTGCAGTCGTTTGGATTACTTGTAGATTATTGTGATGTTGTTATCAGCTGTTTAGACTCTGACGGCACCCATTCACTGCAGAGGATCCATTGGTGAACAAGTGATGTAATGTTACATTTCCTCAAATCTGTTCCAATGAAGAAACAAACTGAGGGTAAATTTTCATTTTTGGGTGAACTATTCCTATTTCTTTTTGTAGTATTCCTTTTCATTTCTTTCTCTCCACAGGTTGTGAGTTATATGCATTCTGCGGCGCTCTGTTTGGTATCTGCTCAATGATCACACTCATGATTATTGCAGTAGATCGATACTTTGTGATCACTCGTCCTTTGGCCTCTATTGGCGTTATGTCACGCAAACGAGCCCTGTTGATACTCTCTGCTGCTTGGGCGTACTCTATGGGCTGGAGCCTGCCTCCATTCTTTGGATGGAGTAAGTGTTAACAATCACTCACTTAACAGGGGCATTTTGTCTAAGAAGACAAGAGAGGCATTTAATTAGGAAATTCAAGATTGAATAATGTATATGTCCCTCATTTGTTACCCCAAACCCAGAAAGGGAATTGTACCTCCTCATTTCAGCAGCAGAATAAACTTGTATTTTATATTCTCAGGTGCATATGTCCCTGAAGGTCTGCTGACGTCCTGTTCATGGGATTACATGACTTTCAGTCCTTCTGTACGTGCCTACACAATGCTGCTCTTTACTTTTGTTTTCTTCATCCCCCTCTTTGTCATCATGTATTGCTACTTCTTCATCTTCAGGGCCATCCGAGATACCAACAGGTACATTCTTTTACCATATTTATGAGTGTATTTGACCATGTTTCTGTCCTGGAAAGAGGAAAAAGACAGTTTTTCTGTGAACAGGTGTATTGTTTATCAAAAAGAGATCAATTTTAGATTAGTGCCGTGTTATAGTGATCTTTACAAAGACCTCGGCTTTGTAAACTGATGTATATGCTGTCTCTTCTTGTGTGTACTGTATCTATCTATTTGTTTACACGTCTGTATGATGGGAATAACAGAGCTGTGGGAAAAATCAATGGAGAAGGAGGGCCCAGAGACTCTATCAAGAAGATGCATCGAATGAAAAATGAATGGAAGATGGCAAAGATAGCACTCATAGTGATCCTTTTGTATGTTATCTCCTGGTCTCCATACTCCTGTGTGGCTCTTACTGCTTTTGCTGGGTGAGAATCAATATGTCTTACACCCACAATCCATTGCTTTTATTACATCCTTCTTGATGATGTTAGCTGTTGACTTTAGCTTATTTTTTTGTTTGTTTTACTTATTGCTTTTAAAAAAGACTTATTTATAGTTACCAGAGGCAACTAAAACAGCTAAATATTTGACGAATAAAGTCATACTTCACTTGTCACTGCAACTATGCTTACACACACTAATCACTGCTAGTGCACTCTAGTAGACTCTAGTTATTTTCTCAGACAGTACAAACACTGTCTAGACACTCAAGGCAGAAATATGTCATATTAAAAAGAGCAGAGATAGCTTTAAATTAAAGATGATAAAAAAATGATCCATTTATCTCAATCATCATGAGGTACATTGTGTTCCAAGTGAAAAGTCGATATTTTTTAAAGGTAGCTATAAGTAGCTAAGGAGCTAGCAATGAAACTTTCTTAAAAGTTTTTGATAAATATGGCACTAAATTCATATATAAAATAATATAATATAATATAATATAATAATTAACCATAATGATGTGTAATGTTATGTCCTCTCACTCTTTCCACAGCTACA